TAGTTGTCAATCCTTACACCTTAAGTTGTCAATGACTTCTCTTTTAGCTGTCAATGCAAACTTAAAAAAAAGAGCAATTTGGTAATTAAACAAATAGAATTTATTGCAAAAATTTTTTTGAGACTTCAGAATAATTTCATGATTTTAAAGGATTTTTTTGTATTTAATTCCCTTAAGTGGAATCTAATTGCAATTCTCCCTTATTTGAATGACGTGCTAAAAGGCTTGGAAACGAGAAAACGGTCCTTCATGGTGGTGGGTCCAGCACGCTATGGTGACAGTGAATGCAAGACTTTTCTCCTCCCTTTAAATATGCCTCCTGGTTTTAAATATAAAATATTAATTTACTTTATTTTTAAAATTTATAATTTTCACCTCAAAGTAAACCCTATTATAACTGTACATATTAAAAGGTTTCTATTAAATAGTAGTATTTATTTATTATAGATAATTAACTTAGCTAATTTTTGTAATATTCACGTATCGGTTATATAATTTTTATATTAAGAATGGGAGGTATAATATATACATCCACGCATGCATGCATCCATAAATACATAGATACATACGTAGAGAGATATACATATACACACACATGGAACGAAGGAATCACAAATACGATTAGGTGGGAACAGTGTGAAGGAGATCGAAGGAGAAGATGAGGATGGAACTTGGCATTTCGAGGCTTTCAAGCCTTGTTCCGATCCTGTTCTCCGTTGTCGTAATAGGCTGCTGCTTGATTGCTGCTGAAGGTGGTGGTGACTGCCAAGAGATTGGCAAGTTGCCAGGCAAGAACCCCCCACCTGGGAAATGCAACGAAGACGACAACTCAAAGTGCTGTGCAGAAGGGGAGAGCTATTCCATCTTCCGGTGTTCGCCGCCGGTGACTGAGAGGACGAAGGCCATCCTAACTTGGAACAGCTTTGAGGACGGCGGGGGCCATCAAAGTGCGACAACAGGTATCACTCCAACGACGAACCACTTGTGGCACTTTCAACAGGATGGTTCGGGTCCGACGACAACAATAGGTGCGGCAAAAGCATCAGTATCTTCGGCAACGGAAACGAGGTGAAGGCGACGGTGGTGGATGAGTGTGACTCCGCAAAAGGCTGTGATGAAGAGCACGATTTCCAGCCTCCATGCCGTTATAATGTCGTCGATGCTTCCGAAGCAGTTTGGAAGGCTTTGGGTGTGGACGAAAACAGCGAGGGCGAGCCTGAAATTGAATGGTCCGAAGCATAGAGAATATATATGTGTGTGTGTGTAGTCACGAGAAGAGAATATATATATAAAGTTTCATAAAACTTTAACATACAAAACTGATCCCAATTATGCACAGAATGACAGTTATAAAAATCATTACATAAAACTTAGCTTCGAATCGTAAGGATCCGAACCAGATGGTTTCAAAACTCAAATCCACTGACTCAGTTTCTTCTTCTATGAAGCAAGGATGAAGATTTTTGCAGGAGATCTGCAGAGTGAATTTGTCAGAGTTCATAGTCGCGTTTCGTTTTCCCAGTCGTTAAACCCGTTGAATTTAAGATATAAAAATTAATTATTTTATATAATTAATGTTATTTCACGTTTGGCTAATTAATATGAGATCGTTCTTATCCTCCCTTTTAAACACCTCTTATCATTTTCGTTCCAAAAAATATCCTCAAAATTTAAAAGTCTATCATCATTTGGCAAGAGAATGATGTTTTTTATTTTTTATTTTTATCATAAATGGTGGACTTAAATAACAAATTCATAAGCATTAAAAAAATTGATAAATTGTGAAAATATGATGTGAAAGCCCTATCACGCTTTAGAAAAGTGCTAATTCTCACCTATTAGAGAATATATTATATAAATATATATATATATATATATATATATATAGTCACGAGAAGTGATATGTATTTCTACAGTAATCTATCTCTATGTATTGGGGGCTGGTTTCCAGTGTCATATTGTGTATTTGGCCACATGCCAATTATAATTTTAAATTAAGATTTAAAAATGAATTATTTTTGTAATTAACGTTGTTTCACATTTTAATTATTACATCGGAAACGAAAGCTCTCTTTACTGTATATAATTAATTAAAATAGGGATAATTTGAGAAAAATTTACAAATTTCAAAGGCAAACTGTTTTGAGCTATTAATTTAAAACGAAAACAAATTTTCCAGTTAACTCTTACCTTTATCATTGGCAAGAATATTGAAAGAGTCTCTTGCTGTTGTTTTTTCGACAATTCTTTGCATCCTCTCATACAAACTTTACAAAAATTAAAAATAAAACAACCTTTATAAAGAAAGACTCAGCTCTTATTGTGAAAATATGATGTGAAAGCCCTATCACGCTTTAGAAAAGTGCTAATTCTCACCTAGATATATTGCGTTATGAATGTGACAAGAAAACAATACAAAACTCATTGTATGCCCTCCCAATAAGTACATTTTTCGGGATTTAAATTTGTGTTTTAATTCTTACAAGGTGAGACCGCTTACTATCTCAACTAATAACTTGTTAGTATTAACACCTTATAGTCTAAGTATATATTACCTATGGTTCTTAATATAAAATCCAGTTGATTAATTTAAAAAAAATTAAAAAAGTTACTAAATTATTTTAGAATATTTATATTTATCGATTTTTTTCAAACTAATTTGCCTTACTTATAAATTAATATATGGTCTAATGATACACATAAGTATTATAGCGAGATCATGCAACATATGATATAATTAAGTAATTTAAGAACTTTATTAATATTTCTAAATTAGTTAATTGTGTCTTGTATTAAGGATGAAAAGTAGTATGAATTTTTAAAAGATATTCACCAGGCCATTTGCATAAAGGCTCGTTCAATGATTTCTTTACTCGGATCCTCTGTTTAATTATGACCATTTGATTTGTAAATAAATAAATAAAAAACCGTCTGACCGTTTGATTGTTTGAATTAATTCGCTGGAAATTTTTGAATGACTTGAAAATTGGGAGGAAAATGAGAAAGAAATATATGAATGAACTTGGATATATATATATATATATAAATACATACTTGAAAAAAAAATTTGGGATAAATGGATGAATTTAAGTCACTAATTATACCTTCTCCCCCCCCCCCGGTTCTACTTCATATTTACAATGGGGAAAATTGCAAAAAAAAAAAAAAAAAAGACCTTTAGAATTGAAAAATTGCATACAATGACCCCTTCACAAAAATTGTTATCAATTGCTTATCAATTCATTCAATTGTTATCAAAACTAATACTAATATTGTAACGGCTTCCTATTTGTAATTTTTCTACTTTTAATGTCTTCTTTTGTGATTTTCTCTTTACAACATTTCATTGACCCTTATTTCCTATTGTACTTTAATGATGTCATCTGAAACGGTCAAAGACAAAACTGGTTTTTTTTGTTTTAAAAAAAGGGAATTCATGGACTTAAGAAAAGGGGGGTCACATATATAGTTGATGAGCCAATATGCTTTCACCGCTGTTTTAGGCCCAAGGTTTTGAGTGAGAAGATATTATTTATAGACCATAATTACTTAACAGGGGTGTTCGAATAGGCCTGTCCCGGTCTCAGCCATATTAGAACGGGATAGATCCGTTCAGAAATTTTTTCAAGATGGGACAAAAAATGGGACCAGGACAGGGGGACTTGGGATAGGGACGTCCTGTCCTGATCCCATCCTGACAGTAATATTTTTTTTATTTTTTTATCATATTATAATTATTAAATGTTAAAAATACAAAATATTTAAGACATGTGTAATACAAAATGTTTATATTTGTAGCTTTTAAGATATATGTAGTTGAATGGTTATTATTTATTTAGAATTTTTATAATTGCTTATGATTTTTTGGAATGGTAAAAATGAATTTTGAAGTTATTATGTTATTGATTATTATTATTTATTTGGACTTTTCTTTAAGAGAGCTAAGTTGAAAGAAATAAAAAAGAACAAAAAAAGATGTTTTAAAAAAGGCTAAGCCCAAAGAATTAAAAATAGAAAGAGAAAAACAACAAAAGTCCATTTCAATATGTCCAATCACAAAAAAAAATAAATTTTTTTGAAAAAAGGGGACGTCTTGGTCTTCTCCTGTCTCTATCAGGACCAGGACAATATCAAGATAGGACGGAACATGGAACATATTTTTTGTCCTGTTCCTATTCATCAAGATGGGACCAGGACGAGCTTATCTCAGTCTTGTTCTGTCCTGTGAACACCCCTATTACTTAATGAGCCTAGATGAATGTTAACTGTTAAGTAATAAACTACTTCATGCCTGTATTTTGCATTGTCATATTTTCTTTCTTTCTTCTTTTATTTGTTTTTTTTTTGGTATAAACTCTGAGTCTCCCTATTAAATTATGAGTGTTAATAGTAAAGTCCTCCTAATGAATATGTTTTTTGAAATTTGAACTTGCGTATTGTTATATTTTCAATATGAAGACTTTGCACCCAAAAAAAATTGTTAAGAGTTTAAAATTTGAAATAAAATCATTTTGCCTGTTTTAAATTACTGTTTGCAACATTATTTGAACAATCATATATCGATCATAAAGTCATGATATTTTCACATATTTATAAAACCTCAAAATCCTATAATAGAACTTTAAATTAAGAAAGAATCAAACTAAGAAGTTTTTTTAAATCCTTAATTATACGAAAAAGGTTGTATAGTTGATAACTAATTTCGAAATAACATAAGTTGATGATATTTCAATACCAAAAAAGGGAAAAGGTTGTTGATACATGGAAAATTTTATTCACATGATAAAACGGTACATAGCATACAAATAAGGGCAAGTCATCACTCGAAATTCATGCAAAAGTGAAAAACATTAAGTTACATTACAATGAAATGCACAGTACATTCCAACCGCCAACAACGTATTTATGAAACATGAAATAAGAACCATACCAGAAACATAACCCAAAAAAAAAAGAAAAAGATCACACAATATCGCAGGAAGTGATATTTTGTGCCTAATTCATTCTCCTTTGATTTGGACGAGCTCTTTCTTTGTTTTTTTTTTTTTTTTGGCTTGTTTCTTAGGCCTAGCTTGAAAAATTCTGACAAGCCCTTTAGGTTTCCCAATTAAGAAGACAACTTGACCTATGAGTATTCCAAACACCATCCCACACGCATATCCCATAGCTACTGGTTTCCAACCAAATCCAAATTTGTCATTACTTGATGAAGTTGGCTGTGGCAATTTCCCTTCATCATGATTACATGCTTTTGACAATGGAAATTCACATAATCCTAAATTTTGCTCATAGGAATCATTCAAAAATGTATCAAATTGCTTACCTCTTGGTATTTTTCCAACGAGTTGATTTTGAGAAAGATTTAGAACTTCAAGAAAGTTGAGATTTGCTAGCGCAAGAGGAATCTTACCTTTAAGCATGTTTGATGATAAATCCAATGATTCTAGGTTTGTCAAGTTTGCAAAGGATTGAGGAATAGGACCAGTGATTTTATTGTGAGAGAGGTTTAGACCTTTTAGTGAATGTAGCTCACCAATAACTTGTGGAATCTCTCCATCAAATATGTTATTTGACAAGTCAATGGATGTGAATGTAGTTATGATCCTTACCAACTCTAACTCAACACCTTTCAACGTGACCATCACTGATTCTTGATAAGAATGGTTAGTTTCCATGTAATCTGGATTGGTTGCAACATAATCAACATTCATCATTCCTTTAAATTCCTTGATGTATGTGGTTGGCAAAGATCCCTCAAAACAGTTGTTGGAAACATAAAAAATTCTTAACTTAGGAAAAGGATGTTTGGTGTTGGAAATATAAATGGCACCATAGAACTTGTTACCTCTCAAAATGAGTATCTCTAGCTCTAGTAAGCCTTCGAGCCAATTGGAAAATTCATCATTGATCGTGTTTTCCCCCACATCTAAAACTTCTAATTGCTTGCAGTGGGTCAAAGACAAAGGCAATACTCCCTCAAATTGATTGTTGTTCAAATGCAAAGATTGCAAAGAATTGCTCTTAGAAAAATTATTTGGTATAGATCCAACAAAATTATTTGTATGCAAATCCAAACTCTCAAGATAAGGGAGAGCAACAAGGCACTTTGGGATGTGGCCTGACAAGTTGTTGTGAGATAAGTTGAGTATCACAAGTGAGCTTGCATTGCAAAATGAGGAAGAAATGTGTCCATTGAATTTGTTGTTGGACACTACAAAGTATTCAACACCAAAGGATGGAATTGGGAGATTTCCTTGCAACAAGTTGAAGCTGAGACCAAGAAAAGTCAAGTTTCTCATTGAAAGATGTTTAGCTGAAGTCAAGTTATTATGAGAGAGATCCAAAGTATCCAAAGAACCATTCCCCGCATTATTGAACCACTGGGGAATATCTCCATGAATTTTGTTATTGGAAATATTTAAGAACTTCAAATTTTGAAGGTTTCCTAATACTTCGGGAAAGTCACTGATGTTGCAAGAGGATAACTCTAAGCTTGTGAGATTGGGAAGGGTATAATGAACATTATTGTTAGAGCTAAGTGAGAGAAACTTATGGTTTGAAAGATCAAGAAATCATAGATTTTGAAGCTTTGAGAATTGATGAAGACTAACAGGGCCTCTCAAATTATTTGATGACAAACTTAGTTGGGAAAGATTTAGGCAACCAAATATCGAATTAGGAACACCTTGCAACATATTATCATCAAGATATAATCGCTGCAAATTTGGAAGGCCTATGAATTTTGGAAAGATAGTGATATGACAAGAAGATAAATGTAACTCCATAAGATTGGGAATGGTGTAGTTTGAATTATTACCGAGATAAGTGAGAGAAACTTGTTGCTTGAAAGATCAAGTTCTTCTAGATTTTGAAACTTGGAAAATTGGTGAAAATCAATAGAACCACTCAAGTTATTTGATGATAGCCTCAAAAGTGAAAGATTTACGAGACTAAAAATTGACTCAGGAAAATTAACTTGTAGGTTGTTGTCAGAGAAATCAAGAAATTCCAAATTTGAAAGATTTCCAAACACATTTGGCAACAAACCACTAAAATAATTTTCACGGAGATCCAATGAAGTAAGACTTGGCATATTTGAAAGAAATGAGAGCTCACCACTAAAACTGTTAAATGCAAGGTCTAAATAAATTAATCGACTGAGGTTCTCAAAACTTCTTACAAGAATAGGCCCATCAAATTGGCAATCGTCAAGTCTCAAAAAACTAAGGGACTTCAAATGGCCTATGGAATTTGGTAAGTGACCACTAAAATAATTGTCACTCAGGTCCAATGAAGTGAGACTTTGAAGATTTGAAAAAAAAATGAAAGCTTACCACTAAAATTGTTTTTTGCAAGGTTCAGATCAGTTAATTGGGTAAGGTTCCCAAAACTTGTAGGAATAGGCCCATCAAATTTGCAACCTTCAAGACTCAAAATATTAAGGGACTTCAAATGGCCTATGGAATGCTGAAGTTGTTCCATGAGATTTTCATTCCATGACAAATTTAACTTCCAAAGATTTTACATATAAAAAAAGTTATTAGCTAAATTTCCCTGCAACGACGTAGCTGAAAGGCTAAGATAGACCAAAGATGATGACAAATTCATGAGCAAAGACAAGGATATTGGTGCAATGGAAGACATATTTACATCATCTAAAATAAGTTCTTGTAGATTAGTCATGTTTAGAACGAGCTTCTTCTAAGTGGATGGTTCAAGTTTTAAACTCAACGACTCATCATACAAGAAAAATCATTCCAAGACAAATCAAGAGAGACCAACTTAGACAATTCTGTAATTTTAGGAGGAATTTCACCAACAAAACCAGCAAAACTTAAGTTTAGATGCACCAGAGTGGAAAGACCACCAAAATGAGATGATATCAAAAATCCATTAAAACTGTTGAAAGCCAGGTTGAGTGTTTGGAGATGAGAAAGCTGAAAGAGGCTATTATTGTGATGGAGTTGACCTTGGAGCCAACCACAACTAAGATCAAGGCCAATCACATGACCAAACATAGAGTCGAATGTGATCCCATCCCACAAGCAGCAGTTTGAATCATTTTCCCATGAAGCTGTCTTTGGGTAAGATGAGTTCTTAAACTGAAAGGGATGGGAGTGCATACCATAAAACACATGATCACACCATCTTGAAATAAACCGATCAAGAGAGAAAGAGTTTTTGAACTGAAGAAGCGCAGAGGAGTCGTGAGGATTACATAATGGTGGGTTGAGAGAAGAAGAAAGGGAAGGAGAAAGTAGGAACAAGTAGAAATAGACGATGATTCAAAATGCCATAACAAATATTGGAAGGCGATGGATATGAAGGAATGAAGGATATAGTATCTAGCTAATAAATGAGGCTTCTTTTTATAGGCAGAGCTACGGATGATAAAAAGTTTGTCATGATGGGTACTCGCTCAAGTCACTTTCTTCTTCCGACTTGGATTGAGGAATTTGGAGGGAACTATGTTAGGATTATGGTTTTGATGATAACAAAGTTAGATTTAAGTAGTTCAGTGTGTTGATTGATCATCTGATTGATCAAGTATTTATCGATAAGCTATCAGATAAATTGTCAGTGCAAACCAGTAATATGACTGAGATTTTGATCGATAAGTTGTTCGATAATCCGTTGATCGATAAAATGATCGATTATCGCTAACGTAGAAGTTATACAAGTTTACAGTTAATTATCGATCACTTGATCGATAATGTAAGATAATCGAACAAGTAACAGATAAAGAGAACCAAATCCAGAGTGCATTTATCGATCACATGATCGATAAATCAGTTATCCATAAAGACTTCGATAAATGGTAATACACTATACTCGTTCTACACATTGATTTTATCACCATTTATCGATCACATTATCGATCATTCATTTGTCGATAATATGATCGAACATTGTTCGCTAACTCTCTGAATGCAGGTACTCAACATAGCTGTTGATCGATAACCTTATCGATCACTAAGTTATCGATCATATGATCGATAATCAATATTTTATCTGCTCATACTTAGTTCTTCTATAACCAAATTATCGATAACATTATCGATAATTGAACCTTTCTGCATAGTACTTTTTTATATAACATGATCGATAAACAGCTTCAGAACAAAATCTTTATTTCACAGTTTATCGATAACCTGATCGAACACTCACTAGATCACCTATTCGATAAATCCAATTAATCCTTGTTCTTCATAGAATGTTTTTCACATGGTAATTATCGATAAAATTATCGATCATGAGTTTATCAATAATGTATTCGAACAACATGAACTGAAGTTTCATTTCTGTAACACTTGAATTATCGATAATCTGATCGATCAACAAGTATTCGATAAATTGTTCGATCACGTTACTTTTCCGGTTCTATCTCAATTAGCTATGATGGTTCTCAAACTCAACTCTCTATTTTCTTCCAAAATTATTTTTAGCATGCATGATCATCTTGACCATTTTGCTAAGTGATTTATAATCAAAGTAACTCTGATCTTTCTCTGATACACATATCAGCATAAGTGTCTCTGCTGCATTTTATTGATCACTTGATCGATAAATCAATGATCTATCACTTGATCGATAATCTTATTTAATTGATTCAAAAAGCTTTCACTTTGATTATCGATAACCTGATCGATCAACCAGTGATCGATCAGCACTTCGATCAAGAATGTCCAGATTGTTATTCTGCATATTTAACAGACTTTTTTATTCCACCTGAAAACAATGAATAATCATTTTATCATCTGTTCAGTTCTGCCTTAAGGTTTACATTGCAAAGATTAACTTATTGAAGGTAAAAGTGTTGTTGCAGATTACGAAGAGAAATCACAACGGCTCTTCAACGGTTGATTACATAGCTTGTAACCTACTGTGTCAGAAGCCCAGAAGCATTAATGGCGGAACCGTTGTAACTAGAGAAAACACGCAAACGAAGTCACAACGGCTAGAAACTCTTTCGTCTAATGATTACTTAACGACTCCAACTATAAAAGGCGTGAAGAAGCATTAATGAACAACATTGAATACCCGAGCTACCATCTATGATCATTTACTATTGCATTCAATGCTCTTTTCTTTCAATTTACTGAGCATCAGTGTTTATCATCTATACACTCTGTAAGAGAGATTACTCACTCATCATTAATTACATTTGTGTGATACTCAAGAGTGTGGACTCTTGAGTGAGTTTGTAACCTTACGGGAAGTAAGGGGGAGTGATTGAGTGAATCAATTACTGTACTGAGGCGCCAAGAGCCCGATCAATCTTAGAAGATAGTGAAATACTCAGAGGTGTTCTGAGGACTGGACGTAGGTCAAGTGGTTAAGACTGAACCAGTATAAACCTTGTGTCTGTCTCTCTACGATGAAATCTTCCTAAACTCACACTCTCTGTTTTCGATATTATTTATTTTTAATTCCGTAATTTTTTTTGTAACTCACCCAATTCACCCCCCTCTTGGGTGAGACTACCACTAACATTTGGTATCAGAGCAGGTCTCTTCAGAAAAGACTTAACAGTTCGAAGAGAGATCTCATGGCAGGATTCGGAGATAGTGTGTTACCGGAAGGATGTTCAACGTCCAAATCGCCAGGCTTTAATGGTGAAAACTATACATTTTGGAAAATGAGGATGAAAATCTTCATTAAAGCCACCGAATATGGATTATGGGACATGATAGAGCACGACAACTATGTCCCTATGAAAACTGTAGACGAACAGCAAATACGCAAGAGTCCCAGAGAGTTCGACGAAGAAGACAAGAAGTTGGTGACCCTAAATGATAAAGCCATCAACATACTCACCTGTGCGCTGAGCCAAAAAGAATACTTCAGAGTTTCCAGCCTAGAGACTGCAAAGGAAATGTGGGAAGCCTTGGAGATAGCTCACGAAGGAACCACCGGTGTAAAACAGAGCAGAATCAACACTCTCACCACTGAATTCAAGCTATTCAAAATGAAAGATGGAGAGAGTATCCGAGACATGGAGATCAGATTCTCACATCTCATAAACCACCTCACGGCACTAGGCAAGAAATACAGTCAGGAAGATCAAGTGAGGAAAATACTGAGCGGTCTCACAAAAGAATGGGAACCGAAAGTGACAGCAATTGAAGAAACCAAAGGAGAATCAATTGGCTCTGTTGCAGCACTGTTCGGAAGCCTTGTTGAATACGAGAGCAAGCAAAAATACAAAAAGGAGATGAATGAGAAGAACCGCAAAAGCATCGCTCTTAGAACTCAAGAAAGCGAAGATGATAATGAAGATGATATTAAGGATGATGAAATGGGTCTTATAGTCAGAAGGTTCAAGAAA